TTTGTTTTTTGTTTTTCTCCGGTACCGGGAACCGAACTCACGACCTTGCGCTTGCCAGGCAGGCGCTTTGCCGGTGAGCTAAATCCCCAGCCCCCTCTTTCAAGTTTTTGACAATTACTCTGGTGGCAGAATGATCTCCCACATTTCTTACATGCATAGTGTTTCTCCCCAGTGTGGGATCTTCTACCTCAACAAAAATTGCCATTATCAGCAAATGATTTTTGAAATTTCCACACAGATATGTTTTCCCCCAGTGGGATTTCTTCCATGAGTTTTGCAGTGATTGTGTCTGCTGAATGCTATCCCACATCAATGGTTACGTAGGTTTCTCCCCACTGTGAATTGTGATGTCTTTGCAAGGTACATTTATGACTGAAAGGTTTCCCACACTGCTTACATACCTAAGGTTTCTCCCCAGTGTGAATTCTTTCATGTACAAGAAGGTAACCATGTCGGTTGAAAGATTTCCCACATTGCTTACATACATAGGGTTTCTCCTCAGTGTGGAATCTTCTATGTCTACAAAGTGTGGACTTACCAGCATATCTTTTTCCACATATCTCACATACATAAGGTTTCTCCCCAGTGTGGATTCTTTCATGGATTCTAAGGCTCCTATTTTGACTGAATGTTTTCCCACATTGCTTACATACATAGGGTTTCTCCCCAGTGGGAATTCTTTCATGGACTTTAAGATTATCACTCTTCCTGAAACATTTCCTGCACTGCTTACGTACCTAGGGTTTCTCTCCAGTGTGAACTCTTTTGTGTATGGTAAGTTTACTATTTTTCCTGAAAGATTTCCCACACTGCTTACACACATAGGGTTTCTCCCCAGTGTGAATACTTTCATGGAGTCTAAAGCTACTATTTTGACTGAATGCTTTCCCACATTGATTACATACATACGGTTTCTCCCCAGTGTGAATTCTTTTATGTACAAGAAGGTGACCATTTTGACTGAAAGACTTCCCACATTGCTTACACACATAGGGTTTCTCCCCAGTGTGAATTCTTTCATGGACTCTAAGGCTACTATTTTGACTGAATGTTTTCCCACATTGCTTACATAAATAGGGTTTCTCCCCAGTGTGAATTCTGTGATGTCCTTGCAATTTGCTATTTTCACTGAAACATTTCCCACATTGCTTACATACATAAGGTTTCTCCCCAGTGTGAATTCTTTCATGTACTCTACGGGCATAATTTCGACTGAAAGATTTCCCACATTGCTTACATACATAGGGTTTCTTCCCAGTGTGACTTCTGTGATGTACTTGCAAATTGTTACTTTCACTGAAACATTTCCCACATTGCTTACATACATAAGGTTTCTCCCCAGTGTGAATTCTTTCATGTACTCTAAGGGCACACTTTTGACGGAATGCTTTCCCACATTGCTTACATACATAAGGTTTCTCCCCAGTGTGAATTCTTTTATGTGCAAGAAGGAAACCATTTCGACTGAATGTTTTCCCACATTGTTTACATGCATAGGGTTTCTCCCCAGTGTCAGTTCTTTTATGTATGCTAAGTTTACCATCTTTCCTGAAAGACTTCCCACACTGCTTACATCCATAGGGTTTCTCCCCAGTGTAAATTCTTTTATGTACAAGAAGGTCACCATTTTGAATGAAAGTATTCCCACATTGCTTACATACATAGTGTGTCTCCACAGTAGGAATGTTTCTGTCACTTTGATAGTGATTGTGTGTGCTGAATGCTTTCCCACACTGCTTACATGCATAAACTGTCTCCATAGTGTGACTTTTTTCATGTTTTTGAAAGAAATTACTAAGAGCTAATGCTTTTACATATTTCTTAGTTAACTGAGGTTTCTCTCCAGGATTTCTTCTCTCATGTATGTGAGTATAATATGAAGGAACAAAACTAGTCTCACGGTGCTTGTATAAGTTTGCATATCCCCAACTGCAATTTCTTCTATAGATTTCAGCACCAGTGGTTGTTCTTGAAGCTTTCACACTTTTCTTACCTACAAAAGTTTTGTCTGCAGGGTGAGTTGGTTCACTATGATGAAATGTAGCCTCCCCACATTGTTCATATTCATAGAGTTTCTCTCCAGTCTTTCTCACTTCATGCTTTTCAAAGGACAGGCAATCACTGCAGTCTTTTCCATATTCATCACATTTATACACCTTCTCTTCTAATTGCAAATAATTGTCTTCATCATATCGTAGATTTCTTGGGGAATTTTTGTCTTCTTCTTCAATTTGCTGGTTATGCTGTGTTCTTCCTATAGCATTAATATTCATCAATGTCTCCCACATCACACCTCTGTAGAGCTGCTTCTGGGATGGATTCAGCAAAGCCCACTCTGCAGAGCTGAAGTTCACAGCTACCTCCTCGAAGGTCACTGTCTCCGGCAAAGCGCCTGCCATTGCGTGGCTTGAGGGTCTCCCAGGATCCTCTGCAGACCGCAATAAGAAGTAATCAAAAATGTGCAATCCGAAGAAGGCTCTCAGCAATGAACTTATTTTGAGCACTTCAGCAGTTGGACCCTGGAAGCCATTTTTTTTGTTTGTTTGTTTGTTTTTTGTTCTACTACCTGGGAGTTTATCTTCCAACTTTTCCATTGAATTAGGTATTTAAGCAA